ATGGTGGTCAGACCACACCCAATCTTTATTGAGCATTTGCTCTCTGTTTGTGTGGGGAGGTTATATGACAACGAGCATTTAATTTCAGTGTTCATAAAAACTCCTCCATACAATCTGCTGAGCATTCATCTGAATTTGCTTGTGCAAAGTGTACATGGTAGTTGGACCACATCTGATCTTTAATGGGCATTTGTTCTGATTTGTTTGTGGGGAGGTTATATGACAGTGACCATTTATCCTGGTTTGCTTACATGGTGTTTATGCATCTTCCTGTTAATCTTTTTGTGTGTGAAATTATTTTTATTTGATTTTTACAATACAAAGTTATAAAAATTTGAGTACATATCCATATACAGAGATCTCAGGACTTTCCCCCAACCCCTCCCTGGAGTCCCATTTTAAACATTTAAAACTGCATCTTCTTCCAAACTCTCACTATTATATCAACCCGTATTTTCCATGGTAATTGTTACACTACAAGTGAAATCAGAATCCTGCCAATGTTTCCATCTGCTTGCAGTGGCCTCTTAAATAACATCTTCCTGTTAATCATTTGGAGAGTTAGGAATCAATCAATGCTTGCTGATCTTAATAGAGAATTTATATTTCTTTAACATCTGCCAAATCAAACTAATTGCCAAAGGTCACCACTCTTCCGACACCCCTAATACGAAAGGTGTAAAGCAAGGGTGTATTCTTGCTGCTTTTCTTTTAAAATTATTTTTATCAGGTCTTCCAGACCACATTCAAAAAACAGAATCAAATGCCCCCAAAATCAATCAAAACCCGGTCCCACTGTTAGTGTATGTGGATGATGTGGCCTTATTATCACTGATGAGGATAGGTCTGAATCGTCTTTTACTCTCCCTGATTTCCTATTGTGAAACCAATAAACTCTCAATAAATTATGAGAAGACCAAAATCCTGGTCTTCTCTAATTCCCGGAAATTAGAGAAATGGAAAATAAGGGGACAAGAAATCCAGCAAGTAAAGATGCAGAGATATCCCGGAATTTAATTCCAGAGCAACTCAGATTGGTCAAACCATCACACAAGTCCTATAACAGAGGCAAAGTGTACCTCCTCAGCAGTAGCTCGCTTTTATTTTCAGAAAGGTAACCAATTTATACCAGCTGCTATTCAAATTTTTCAAGCTAAAGTGTCTTCCCAGTTACTTTTGGGGATCCTAATATGGATACAAACATATAATAGTGATTTAGATAAGATACACTCAAGTTTCTTGAGGCATATCCTGGGGCTCCCAAGTTCAGTCAAGTATGAGGTGATGTGTGCAGAACTAGATATACAAACGATGGAATATTGGGTGTGGGCTAACACTATAAAATACTGGTTGCGTTGCGATTTCTGTTGCCAACCTTTGAGGCTGCTTCCTGACTTACTTAAGGACTCTTATAAATCCAGATGGTTCCAACGCTTACATAGCAAAATCAGATCTATTGGTATTGATTTGGAACTCTTGTATAATTCAAGTGAGCAATATATTTATCGTAATATTCAAATCAGATTCAGGGGCACTGAAAAACAAAACATCGAGTCAGCTGTAAATAAAATTTGCTCCCCCAAGTTTTATGGTTTAAATCCAACAGATATCAGGGCCACTTACATTTCAAAATGAATAATTCCAGTCCAACTCAGGGCCTTTATCATAGAATCATAGAATCATAGAGTTGGAAGAGACCACAAGGGCCATTGAGTCCAACCCTCTGCCAAGCAGGAAACACCATCAGAGCACTCCTGACATTTGGTTGTCAAGCCTCTGCTTAAAGACCTCCAAAGAAGAAGACTCCACCACACTCCTTGGCAGCAAATTCCACTGTCAAACAGCTCTTACTGTCAGGAAGTTCTTCTTTCTTGTAGTTTGGATCTTCTTTCTTGTAGTTTGGATCCATTGCTCCGTGTCCGCTTCTCTGGAGCAGCAGAAAACAACCTTTCTCCCTCCTCTATGTGACATCCTTTTATATATTTGAACATGGCTATCATATCACCCCTTAACCTCCTCTTCTCCAGGCTAAACATGCCCAGCTCCCTTAGCCGTTCCTCATAAGGCATCGTTTCCAGGCCTTTGACCATTTTGGTTGCCCTCCTCTGGACACGTTCCAGTTTGTCAGTGTCCTTCTTGAACTGTGGTGCCCAGAACTGGACATAGTACTCCAGGTGAGGTCTGACCAGAGCAGAATACAGTGGCACTATTACTTCCCTTGATCTAGATGCTATATTCCTATTGATGCAGCCCAGAATTGCATTGGCTTTTTTAGCTGCCGCGTCACACTGTTGGCTCATGTCAAGTTTGTGGTCAACCAAGACTCCTAGATCCTTTTCACATGTACTGCTCTCAAGCCAGGTGTCCCCCATCTTGTATTTGCGCCTCTCATTTTTTTTGCCCAAGTGCAATACTTTACATTTCTCCCTGTTAAAATTCATCTTGTTTGTTTTGGCCCAGTTCTCTAATCTGTCAAGGTCGTTTTGAAGTGTGATCCTGTCCTCTGGGGTGTTAGCCACCCCTCCCAGTTTGGTGTCATCTGCAAATTTGATCAGGATGCCCTTGAGTCCATCCTCCAAGTCGTTGATAAAGATGTTGAATAAGACCGGGCCCAAGACAGAACCCTGTGGCACCCCACTAGTCACTCTTCTCCAGGATGAAGAGGAACCATTGATGAGCACCCTTTGGGTTTGGTCAGTCAGCCAGTTACAAATCCACTGAGTGGTAGCATAGTCAAGACCGCATTTTACCAGCTTCTTTACAAGAATATAATGGGGCACCTTGTCAAATGCCTTGCTGAAATCAAGGTAGGCTACATCCACTGCGTTACCTTCATCTACCAGGCTTGTAATTCTGTCAAAAAACGAGATCAGGTTAGTCTGACATGACTTATTTTTCAGAAATCCATGCTGACTATTGGTGATCACAGCATTCCTTTCTAGGTGCTCACAGACTGTTTGCTTAATGATCTGCTCCAGAATCTTCCCTGGTATTGATGTCAGACTGACTGGGCGGTAATTATTTGGGTCCTCTCTTTTCCCCTTTTTGAAAATAGGGACAACATTTGCCCTCCTCCAGTCTGCCGGGACTTCGCCTGTTCTCCAGGAATTCTCAAAGATGACTGCCAGTGGTTCTGAGATCACACCTGCCAGTTCTTTTAATACTCTTGGTATTAAAACTGAAAGTTTTCCCCTCAGCTTTTATCAAGGGCAGATATTTAAACATTCTCAGAAATGGTAGACATTGCGGATCATTTTTGAATGTGCCGGATACAGTAGAACATATAGTTTGTTCTACTGTCCATTGTACAACACATGCTATCCCCTTTTCTGGGTAGTCTAAGATCACGGCACAATGAAAATATCAGATTCTATTTGTCTGACATTAAGCCGGCAGTAACCGCAAAGGTAGCTGAGTTTTTATCAATAGTATTTCTTAGAGTGGTGAATGGCACTATTTAGCGGGAAGAAACTCCAATGAAAATCCTCGTTATTACATATTTTTACATGGCTGTTTATTTGTATATGTTTTAAAATTTTCTATGTGGATGTTTTACGATGGCCTATATTGGTAATGCCTAATAAAGGTTTGGCGAAGTAAGCAAAGTGCCTGTATTTCAATTTTCTCTACTATAATGTATGTTGCATGTTATTTTCACCAATGAATACATTTTCCACACACATTCCCCCCTAATATGTGTACTTTCATACAGATTGTTTGGTTGGATAACTGCATTGCAAAACTTGAAGAACCGTGAATGCTGAGGTTTGCTCTGTTTCAGTTTGCATATTGGTTCGAGAAGTGTGAATTGGGCATTTTCCTGCTAGAATGCCAACAAAATTGAAATTCTCCCCCATCCCTAGCCCACCTTTGCTGTCACTGGTGGACTCTAACTCTCTGCAGCTTTCAACATTTTATTGATTCCATTTCAATTGCATCCCACCTTTCCTCCCATGAGCTCAAGGTGATGTTCATAGTCCCCCCTTTTATTCTCATAATAACCTTGTGAGGTAGTTTTGTCTGAGAGTGAGTGACTGAGCTTCACGGCTATGCGGGGATTTAGTCTGACACTCTGACCACTACACCATCCTGTCTTGTCCACTGGCGTGCACGTTTGAGGCAGGACGCAGACATTCGAACCTTGAGCATGCTTGGTGAGTTACAAGTCACACACCCATTTGTGTTTCTTTTGTTTGTTTTTTTGATGTCCTGATCCTGAAAGGGCTTTCTGGATGTGTTCAAATTCTGCTGGCAGATGACTCTGAGGACTGGCTCTTCAACACGGTCCTGATTTTGATTAAGCTGCTGTGGTTTATCACATGGAGACAGGTAGGAGCTTTTCGTAGAAAGTGTCTGAGTCCTGTCGTCAGGTTGGCGGTGTGATTTATTGCTCCTTTCATTTCGATCGTCACTCTCATGCACAAACCAAACTGATGCTTGGAGTCAAATGCAAACATTGTTTGCCATTAATTTTGTCCCTAATTGTTGTAATTAATCACACACACACACACACACACACACACACACACACCGGTGGGAAAGCATCAGTTGGTGGCTAAACTTTGAAAACACCTCCCTCCCCCCAAAATCCCAGGATGTTGCAACATGGTGGCCAACAAGGACAGCACAGCATTCAACACCTTTTTCCTTCCCCCAAATGGCATCCTGAACTAATTATGCCTAGCTGTGCTCCACAGGTAAGGTTGTGAGAAAGGTCTCAATGATGCCACTCATTTTTACAGCAGGGATGGCTAACTTGTGGCCTCCGATATGTTACTGGACTACAACTACCATTGGCTCCAGCTAACATGGCCAAGGTAAAGGGATTGTGGGAATTGTAGTTCAACAATATCTGGAGGGCCACAAATTAGCTACCCCCTTTTTAGAGCATCATTTTTGGATCAGTGCAGGAATGGAGGGGACTACTGTGACAACAGAATCACAGAACTGTAGAGTTGGAAGGGACCATGAGGATTATCTAGTCTAATGCCCTGCAGTGCAGGAATCATTCACCCAAGATGGGGCTCGAACGCACAACCCTGAGATTCAGAGTCTGATGTTCTACCAACTGAGCTACTCTTCCTGGATTCCAACTCTCATCAACATCAGCCTGCTTCAGCGCTGAATTACCAAATAGGCAGAGTAGGTACCAGCCTATGGGCCCCACGCCTTATTGGGGCACCACGACAATAAATCAAAATAATATTGATTTACTGATCACACTAGAGCAGGGGAGAAGCAAGATTTCAACTGCCCAGGAGGCTCCACAGGGTTTAATCTGGCACTGACCAGCTTGGCCAATGGTCAGGGATGATGGGAGTTGAGTGCATCTGGCGGTCTACAGATACCTCCTCATCCCTGGTTTGATGGATGGCTCATTGCTGACTGCAAGATTTCTCTGTCTATTCACCTACTGAAGTAACTGGAGCTATCTCTAGCGCAGATTGCTGCTGCAAATCAGCAATCAGGGGGAACTGGTGCAGGTCACAGCAAGGATTGAGATCTGTGTCTACGGTCAGTAATTGAACTCCATATCAGGGTGATGAATGGGTTGATTATTTTTTTTAAACCACCTCTTTACAGCTCTGCAAAAGCCTATAGGGGCTTCTTAGTCACAGACCACAAAAACTAACTAAAATTGAGTCTGTCTCCACGCTTTCTTCCCCACGATCATTTCTTTTGTCTGCAGCTTATTTTGTAAAGAGACGGTAATGTTATGTTGTTGTTCCCTCAACTACTGAACTCATTTGGTTGTGCGCCAACAGAACGACAGCCAAAATGAAATCGCTGTGAAACAAAAGGAAGGTAGCAGCCCACTTGAGAGAACCTCAGGGTAAGCAGAAGGGGGGAAGGATCTTTTAAAAAACAAAACAAAAGGGTCACCTCTCTTGGATAAAACTACTCCAGTGAGAACTAAGCTTACTGAAAGATCTCCAGGAGCCACAGAGGCAGTGAAGCCATGCTGGTGTGTGACAAGAGACAGACGGACAGAGAGTTGGCCTTCTTCAGTCCCTTGTAGCTTACATTGTCCAGGAGGTGGGCACAGCTGACGGACTGCTACTGTAAGAGGGTAAGGCTATACTGCACCATTTTGTTGCAGGTTCCACTCTTGACTATGATAGTCCACTAGGTGGCCTTTCAGCTGTGAATCTCCACCCATTCCTGTATCCAGGTGCAAATGTGTACCAGCATCTGCTGCCCATCTCCAACCCATCTCAAGGGCCCAAAAACCTCCCTTGTGGCAGGGAAAGGTAGTGGAAACATGCCTACTCTGGAATCAAAGGGGTCTTTTAAGTCTAGCCCATCCTTCCCCAACCTGCTGCTCTCAGGTGCTTTTGGCTACAACTCCCTTCACCCACAATCAACACAGCCATGCTGGCTGGGACTGATGGGAACTGCAGTCCAAATCATGTGGCGGGCACCAGGTTTAGGAAGGTGAGCAGTGCACACTGCCTTGCAAAACAGAGGCAGCCAGTTCCTCAACACCAGGGATTCCAAGACCAAGGCTGTCTACCAAACAGACACTCCCAAATCTTCCTCAAATTGCATTGAAGAAACCTTCATGGAGGGCTTGTCCACACTGTCATTTGCCCCATGCTGAGAAAGCACAGGTCCAAATGGGTTTCTACTTGACCCATACATTTTCTAGGCATGGGTCCAAGCAGGTTTTTCCCAGCCTCACTCCTTTCCCAGGAAAAGCCTTCTCTTTAGTGCTAAGTCGGAGCAAACATCAATCTGGAGAAAACACGAATTGCTGTTTGCTCTGATTTAGTGCTAAACAGCAGCTTTCCCAAGGGGAAAGCAGCAGGACAAGAGGAAGTGTGGAGAAGCTCTTAAGAGTCTGCATCCGCCCTGTTCAAGAACAAGGGTAGCAGCCGTGACTTTTCAACGTTTTGCACTGAAAGGCTGCAAGCTCACCAGGTCTTACTGGGAGCCATTCTAATGCCTAGAGAAGAATCTGTGGCTCCTGTCTGGTGTTAGACAAGAGCAGAGCAGACTCTTCTATAGAACAGTCTAATGAAACCCTGTATGTTATTAACAAGATCCATTGTTATCATTCCAAACAGGTCCAGTTTCATTTCAGGTGCCAGAGGGTACCTCAATTAGTCCCTTCAAATGCAGATCAGTGCTTTGAAGTCAGACTGCGAATGGGCTGTTATGTCTGACTGCTGTGAGGACATGAATGCACTTTTATATTACAGGCAGGTATTTATCTTAGCTAGTGGAGCTTAGAATACTGAAGTGTGTCCTTGCCTGGTGATTTTCCCCCCCTATCAGCTTCAAGCACAAGAAAAGAAAAAGAACTTTACTCGCCAGTGGTGGACCTACATTTTGGGGGCCCCTGAAGCTTGAATTTTTATGGGGGACCTCCTTCACAACCAGCAGCAAGATCTGGGTAAACACTGCGGTCTTCTTCAATGAAGTTGTTCCATGGCAGATCAACAAATTTAAAATGATAATAATAATAGCTACTGCATCTCAGATTTTCTTTAAAATTGCTATATTGGATTATCCCACACATCAGTCACTGGTGTGAATAAACATTTTCTATGCCTTATAGTTTTTGAGTTGTGTGACTCAAATTGGGTCTACTAGACCCCCAAAAAATTAAGCAATGTGTACTAAAGTCACTTTTTTGTTGTTGTTTGCTGCCCTGGGCTCCTTTAAGAGGAAGGGTGGAATATAAATTCAATAAAGAAATTAGTAGCTCTGTCCACTCTTGCCTCTGGCCCCACATATTCCTTGGGAGGTTGCCCAAGAAAGTGTTAGTTTCAGTTTCTCACTGAGAAGCTGGGAGTCACAGGACTCTGTTTACATTCCAGAGACCTTCCAGTCTCACGGGAAAGGAGACGGGATGTGACGTTAGTGGTTTCCTGTTTCCTTTGTTCCTTTGTTCCTTTGTTCAGTTGCTCTCTGCTCTCACAGGGAGAGGATGTATATTTCTTTGCTCTCTGCGTAGCTAGAAAATAAAGCATAGCAATGTAGCTCATACTATCTCATCCTTCCGCGTGCTGTTTTGATGCTCTGCTGGGACGACGTGCCTGAGGCCTTATCAAAGGATCAGGTCATCAATTAACCATTGGGGGGCGATTCCGAAGATGAGCCTTATCAGCTCGGTTGAACGGAGATTCCGACAGAAAGAATGTGACTCTCGGGCTGAACATGACTCTGATTGCAGCTTGGGTCCCAAGTAGCACAAGCTTGCTTTCAAGTGCCCAGGAATTCTCTTCCAGCAGCAGAATTCTCTTCCTTTTCTCCCCCACTTGAAAAAAGGTCCTGCCAAAAATTTATCAGACCTTCCAGGATGAGTTTTTTTCATTAAAGGCTACCAGAGAGGAGCAGATTGACAATGACCACGCTAAAATGCTTTGTGCAGGGTTCTCTCTCCTCCTCCTCTCTTCCTCTTCCTCATTCTGGATCAGGTTTGTATTAGCATGTCTCACTTTTGCTCCAGAGGGAGAAAAAAATTGAAAGAAAGATTCCACACTAAGGAAACTGCCGCAGTCTCTGACCCATTTCTACCTGCTTTAAACATCTGGAGCATGAACACTTATTTTTCGCAGAGCAGCACATGAAGACACGCTCTGCACTGTTAGCAAGCTGTCCAGAGTCATAATGTGCTTCTTCATCGCCCATGAGGGACCTATTCAGACCGTTACCAGGTGTCTGTGCCAGGGGAGAGACCCAGATCCTTGTTCTGCACCTTGCTTCTCCATCTGTGGTTTGAAGAGGATTTTGCAGAGCATCTCGCCCAAGGACTTTTAGCAACTGGTGCGTAACGGGGGACTTTGGGCTATCTGACAGAGGTGATCATAGTCATCCTCAAAACTGTTGAAAATATTTGGAGTATAGTACATCACAATGCTGAGGGTCTCGGCACAAGGTGATCTAGTTTTGAAGAACAAACTAATGTTGACCTCCTGTCAGAAATGTCACAGACTTTTGCACTGCATGGTTTTTGGGTCACACTGTTTACACTGTTCCCTCTTCTCTCCCCCCGCCCCATGTTTAGGAATGGCCGCCAAAAGAGAGTAGATGTGCACAGGGTGAAGTGGGCTCTGGATAATGGAAGGGTATGCCACAATCAATCTGTGTGCCTTTATAATGCCCCGAGGCTGTTTTCATTGCAACAGAATAACATGGCATTTATCAGAGAAAAAACCTGGGCTTTGTTGTTTGTGAAAAAATGATAGTAATGTTGACCTCCGTGGCCTACTGCATTATTTTATTTAAACGCCACCATAAATACTTCAGGCCTTAGTGCAAAGCTGTCCCCCATTTCCCTTCACCTCATATTTTACTGAGGGAAAGCACTCGGCTGAGATCATTTCACTTCAGTGGCCTGTACAGTTGATTCAAGTGAATTTCTTTGTCTAATTCAAGCAAGCCTGGCTTAAATCGGTTGATTCAACATGGCTGATTCACCTCACGCTGCAGCTTGTTTCAAGCTGTAACAACAATATATGTGACAGCATTTTGGAAAATTGTCTAAAAAGATTGCTCGGTTCTTATATGCCCAATCACTGCGCTCTGCAAGAGGCAGCTGCCTGCAGATACCTTCTTAGCAGGAGGTCTGTTGGGTACTATACAGGAACCAGGCCTTTAGTGCAGCTGCTTCTGGAAGGACAACAACAGAGATCATTCATTTTGTCATTTAAGAGTTAACTCTGTTGGTGTTTCAGGTCAGCTAACCAAGCGAGGTAGTGGAGCTGGTGTTGTTTAGCAACCAGAGTGGCATGACGTTTGCTGAGGTTACAAGTGCTCTGGCAGTGTAGCTGTTGTTGAACTTATACCTGCCCCTCTTTCTAAAGGAGCTTTGGGTGGCAAACAAGGGACCAAACAATCCAGACATCTTAAAGGCATCTTTAAAATGATCCCAACAAAAATGCAAACTGGGGATGGTCTCAGATGGAAGGGCTTGTTGAAAGTGGAAGGTCTCCAGTAGGCAAAGACAAAAGAGACAATGCCTGTCTAATATTCAAGAGGAAGGAATTCCAAAGGGTAAGGGGCACAGCACTAAATGCCCAGTTCCAACATTCTCCTAATAAGTTGGTATCTGCAGGAAGCACACTGATAAACTGG